TAGCCCCCCCCCCCTCTCCAAGCCACTGCCACATTCATGAAGTGAAGCCGACAACAGGTGATTGTTCTCCTTACATGTCCCTCACGTCTTTCCAAAAACATTTCGTCCTTTCTTTGCTTTTCCATTCTCCCTATTTTCCTTCTGTCAAGGGAACAGTTTTTTTTTGTTCCGATCAGAAGATTTTTTCTATGAAATAGGAAACTCATCGCAGAAAGAAGACGATTTGTATTCTGGCTTCAACAATGTTGTCAAACATCACAAGAAGAAGTGGATGATTGGATGGGATTTCTTCAGAATGTAGTTGCTACTAATGACAGACTGAGTTTCACGAATGTCCGGAATATAATGCAAGGAGAAGAAAATTGTAGAAAAATGCCTTCGTGAAATCTACAGCGAAGAATTTATTTTACGTTTAATGCACATCTCGGAAAACATTTTCTCCTTTCATTACGTTATCATTCTCCGTATTGGTTTCCTATTGTTGGATTTTTTAATGAAGAGGTGAAAAATAGATGGGGAAAAACTTGGAAAATTCATGTCAAGGAATTCCTATGGAAAATCTCTCAATAGAAAAAGTTGTACACAAGAACAAAATCCTACATATTTTTTCTAGGGAATAATTTCTATTGCACATTTGCACAAAAGAAAAGAAAAGAAAGTTCAGCGAAAATTCAATAGAATTTTCCGTCAAATTCTGGGAAATTTTGCGAAACGTGCACCTATCCTCACCCACAAATTATCAACTTAAATTTGAACGACTAAATAACTCCATCCAAAAGTAAAACTAATAACATTCACAAAACTACCTCATTGAATTCGTCGCAAACAAAAATCGGCTCTCAACACATTCATCCGTGCCCTCCCATCCCTCTGAAAAAAGGATATTACGCCCGTGGGGCATATCTTATCAGAACCTCCACGAGGATCAAGTCGAAAGGGGCTTTCCGTACACGTCTTTCACGAAAAGAGGACAAAGTGCGTGTACACAGAGAAGCTAAGGCAGCGGTTCACTTTCATGTGGAAAAAATGATTCGCAATAATCCCGTAGCCAGTGACATGGCAATAAAGCATTTTCCGTAAAGCTCACCCTCAATACCCGCGCCCCAACTTCACTTTGCAGACTCCCGCAAAATGCTCGGCTCCTCCGTTCTCTTTTTTCTGAAATCCTCCATAGGATTTTAATTTTTATATTTCATTGTAATCGGACCATGATAAAAAAAAATTACTTTTGCCAAGGAATTATTTTCTTGTGAGAAAAATTTGGTTATCAATGAGCAGAATCTGCAATTAATTCGGAATTCAATTCAATTTTTTCCCCAATTTTCCAAACTTGTATTGACTTTTATCGAATGATTTGATTACAACATAGTTATCATAGATTTTTTCAATTGATTTTTGAATTGTGAATGGCTGACATTTCAGTGGAGCTGTCACTTGATAAAAATTAAATTACAGATGAACTTTACTTGAATGAACAACAGTAGAAGTGATAGGGGTAAAATGAACACTCGACTTTTTTAATATTAATGACTTATTAAATTGTGCATTACATCCCCCCTCCTCCAAGCTAAGATTATGAAAAAAACCTAAAAAAGAATATAAAATAAATTTAACAAAACGCTAAAATAAATAAAAAAAGAAGCTGCTAACATAATAATTAAAATTCATTATGATATATTTTGAATTTTTTTCATTTCGTCATTACGAAATAACAATAAAAACAAAATCATGAAGATGAGTTTTTGAAAGTGTCGCCCTCAGCCGGCAGAGCCCCCAAGAACTTCTCATAAAAAT